CTCTTCTATAGCACTATCGCTATATAGGCTATTACTATAGATAGCAATGTCTTTAATCGAGTTATTATAGCTCGAGCGATCTACGTCCTTTCTTTTAACGTATACTAGAAGAACGATAACTCCGCTATAGTATTTGTTGCCGCCGCAGGGTCCGGAAGTCCGCTTATCCTACGCTTACTTATTAATAATACGGGCTATAGCAATCTTATGCTATAGGGTTAGAAACAAAGAATTAATATATTAGGTCTCGCTATCGTAATTAGGTCGCCTCGATAGGCTATCGGCAGGGTTACTTACGCCTAGCCGGTATAATATATTAAAATCAAACCTAGCGAGGTAGACGGCCTATCTAGCCTATCGACCTATAACCCTAGTAACCTTAGTAATGCTACGGAGGTTGTTATAGTCTATATAGACCTAAATAGTATACTATATACTATCGAGATAGTGCCTCTAATGCTTAAAGGCCTCGATAATAGCTAGGAGCTCTTGCTCGTAGGTCTCGTAGCGACGCTCTATATCGATTATCTTTCGTAAAAAGAAGGCAATTAGGTGCTAGTAATAGTCCTTATCTAATTACTATAATATAATAGCCGATATAGCGAACTATAAAGCGTTAGTCTTAATACGGATCTGCTTACTTAGTACAAAATAGTATAGTAAGGGGACTTTAGTAAATCGCTTCTTTAGACTGTTAAAAGCGGCTTGTATCTTGTTAGTCTATTTGAATTCTCTAGACGGGTTAGCCTTAGTTTTAGTAAGCTTAGTTAGGGGCATTATATGCCGTAAATAGCCCTTAATAAAGCAGCGGTAGAAATTAGCGAAGCCGAGGAACGATTAAAGTTCCTTAATAGACGTAGGAACAGGCTATTTAGTAATAGTTTTAATCCGATTAGGATTAGCCTTAATACCCTTAGTTAATACGAGGAAGCTAAGGAACAATACCTCTTTAGTAGCAAAGGTGCATTTAGAAGGCTTATAATACAAGCTATAGGCTCGTAGGCGATCGAGTACCTTACGGACTATAGCCTAGTACTCCGCAATATTAGGTAAGTATATATAAACTAGGATGTTATCTAGGTAAACTATATAGAGGTAGTCTAGTAGGCCTAATAGGGCCCGATTAATATAGGACTAGAATGTTATAGGGGCATTAGCTAAGCCGAATAGCATAACTAAGTACTCGAAATAGCTATAGCGAGTACGGAAGGCTGTTTTCTATTCGTCGCCCTTACGAATACAGATACGATAGTACGCATCCTTAATGTCTAGTATAGTATAGAAGTAAGCACTAGAAAGGCGATCGAGGGTCTTGTTAATAAGCGGAAGTAGACAGCGGTCTTTAATAGTAATAGCATTAAGTCTACGGTAATTAATATATAAATATAGGCCGCTATCCTTCTTTAGCACAAACAGGATAGGTGCACTAGCAGGGCTGTTACTATACCGAATTCGACTATTAGCTAGGTTTTCCTCTAGGTACTTATATAGTATAGCAAGCTCTCGTTTACTAAGGTTGTAGAGGGGGCTAAAAGGAACCTCCTTACCCTCTATAATATTAATCTTATAATCCGTCTCTTTAAATATAGGCAATGTCGATGCTAGGTAGTGTTTGAATACATTAATATAGGTTTCTCGAATAGGCACTAGTATACGAGAGAGCTAATTAGGGTCTATACTATTAGGGGGTATAGGTTTATCGTTATCTCTACCGAGAAGATTAGCTATCGGATTAGCTAAGGCAGGTATTAGGTTGCTAATAAATAGGACCCTAATATCGTTAGGGCACTCGCTAATATTAATGTGTTTAATGTCCTCTTTCCTAGCGATTCTAAATCGCTACTTCTAGAGGCCTAGGTCTATAGCTATAGCGTAGTACTTAAGAACAGGGTTGCTAATAACAATAGTAGCTCCCCTATATAGGTTGTCTATATCTACTACGTAGGCAGTAAAGTCTAGTAGGCGTTTATTTCCGAGGTCGTCCTTTAGAACTATAGGAATATAGTAGGCCCTATAGGTTAAGTGCCGAGCGTTATTAAACTAAGTAAGGGTTAGTAGGTTAGTCTTCGGCAGTTGTCGAAGGTCTAATTGCTTAGCTAGGCGATAGCCGATAAGGGCACTAACTGAATTTCCTAGATCTAGTATAACCTTGGTTTAATAGGTAGTGCCCTTCGTGTCCTATATAAGGCAGGGGCGTATTATAGCTAGTACAATGTCGATAGTCTTACGCCGTACGAGGCTAATAGTTAGTACGGCGCTTACTCTTTTTTCAAAGGTTAGCCTATAGGGATAGCGTTAGCCGCTAAGAGGTGCTTTCGGTATTTAGCGGAAGCACGATTAATTCGGGCCTAGTCCTTAGGTTTATCGCATTAGCCTAGTAGATAGCTAGTGCTATTACAATTAAAGCACTTCAATCCGGTTAGTAGACTGCCGTAGCTATTGTTGCTGTTGTTAGCTAAGCGGTTAGCATTATAGGGATACGAGCCCCTTCTACGGCCCCTATCGCGGCCTCCTCTATATAGCCGCCGGCTACGGCCTCTTCTACGATCGTTACTATTCCTATTATTAGTATTGTTGTCCTAGTAGGAACCTTAGTTTCCTCCGCGGCTACTACGGTTACTACGGTTAGTACTAGCTAGTCGGATTCTTAATTCTAGTCGCTATTAGAGCTAAACAGCCCGTTCGGCTATTTCTACTTCGACTATAAATTAAATACGTATTAGATTAGCTTGTTCGAACACGCGGCGACGGTCTAATTCGAGGATAAGCTCCTACCTAAGTTTTAGGCGTATCTCGGAGATCTATATAGAATTAGTCTTAAGCAGAAGGTTATCCTCGAGGGTCTTTAAATAGGCCTCGAATAAGCGAGCCGATTAATTAGTCTTCTATTTAGCTCGAAGATATAGGTCCTAAGCATGTTATTGCCTTAGTATAGGGTTTCAAAGGGTATCTAGTATAATAGTTTTATAGGTCTACTACTAAATAGCGGTCTAATCGTTAAGGGAGTCAAAATAGTTATCCTATATACGCTTTAGGTCGCTATTAATGTACTATATAGCGTATACGACTAAGGAATAGTCGTCTAGTAGCGCTCTTAGTGCGTTACGCTAGTTAAGTTTACAGTTACGAATATAGTCGTTATACTGCTTCCGACTAGAGCTATTAAATATAGTATAGTCCTTAAGTTTAGCATCCTTCTTTTAGATAGGTAGTAAAGAAGGTCCTGCTATTAGCTTAGTAGTAGTTGTTAGAGATTCCTAGAGGCGGCGAATCTCGAGAAGATTATCCTTTAGCTATTATTCTTAACGCAAGGTAGTAAGCCTGTTTTAGGTAGCTTCTTAAAGTCTCGCTACTAGTTAGGGACTAAAGGCTAGCTAGCTATATCGACGGTTAATAATATTATTAAGAATGTCGTCGATAGGCAATTCTAGGTCGTTACCTAGAATTGTAGGTTCTTCTTTAGTAGGTCCTATAGTAGGCTCTTTAGTAGGAGGCACTTTATTAGTAGGTGCTTTAGTAGGCACTTTAGTAGTAGGCACTGTGCTACTAGCGTTGTCGTTACTAGCGCTGCTAGCGGTAGTATAGTTGTTGTTGCTTCGTAATAAGCTAGCTATTATAATAGGGGGTAATACTAATAATATATTATTAGCCCCTAAGATACGGATATAGCGGAATTAGTAGATATTAGTCTAGTACGATTAACTTAGTGTAATAGGCCGTATAGAAGGCCTTGCTTAATAATTGGTACGGTTGTTTCGATAGAATAGTACGTATAGGTCCCGTTCTTCGGGCGCAATATAGTTAGATTAGTCTTGTTCGTAGCTATACCGCTAAAAGCTTAAAATAAGAACTATCTAGCTGCTGCCCTTAAAGGGTAGATCGAATACTGTATAAGAAGGGTATATTAGCAGGTAGATAGGGTAGTAGTAGGTATAGGTAGTATTCGATAAGGAGCTAGAAGGAGAGGGAGGAAGGTAGGCAAGTTAGCCTATTACTAAGCGCCAAGCCCTGCCTAAGGCATTAAGACCCTAGCTTTACTCGAGCCCGGTTACATACTAATTACGTATAACCTCTTTAGTCCTAACAATCTATCGCTATAACGGTAATTAGCGGCACCGGTAAGAATATACCTATTTTATCCCTTTTTCGATAATAATCTACTAGCGCTATCTCTTAAGACTCGTCTAATTTAGTGTTAGTTAATAGACGACTAAATAGCGACCTACGGCTCTTAACCGCTAGTAGATGCGAGAATATAGGCGAGTTACTTTCTTACTCTTATAGAGCGCTCGAATACTAACTTTCTTATTATCCGATTTAGCTACTAATTCGTATAGAATCGTAGTACCTCGAAACAACGCGTTCTACTACCCTCTCCGCCCTCTCCGCCTTAGTTAACCGCTTAGCTCGCGCCCTTTTTACCTTTTTGCCCTTATTACGCCCTATACTAAGTTTTATATATAATCTATAGAGTAGAATATAAGAAATAGGAGGAGTACGAGGAATATACGCTTTAGAATAAGGTAGACGCGCCTGCTAAGGATTATATAAGAAATAGCGATAGTAAGGTCCTATAGCTACTATATACTCGGATAAACTAGCTAATATAATATTTAGACTCGCGGTTTAATACTATATACACCTAGATATCTATATAGGACTGGAACCTACTACTATATCGAATTTTACGTGTGGCCTACTAGGAAAAGGCGATTTTACGTATAGCTAGAAACCCCGCGAACAGCGGGGGGGAGTGTCTGACGGAACCCTGGATACATGTATTCTCGTCGCGGGTTCGATGACGATGACGGTCCACGACGGTAATCGAACACCGCCCGTCGGCGCCAACAGCCCAGCCCACCACACAAGATTTGCGTCAAGGTCAGAAGCCGACGAGAACGCGTGCTTGGCCGTGGGGCATCATGCATGCCATGCACGGCGGCAACAATAATTCCTCCATGCCTGTTGCCATCAGGTGTTTGTTCACCGACAGTGATGAAACTTTATTCTCGCCCGCACTCCTGAATATATCATCAATCCCCTCAAGATGGCTCAAACAACGTACACCCTCAACACGGGCGCAAAGATCCCTGCTGTCGGCCTGGGCACCTGGCAATCGCCAGCTGGTGAGTCTCATGAAGAATGCTTCTGAAGAAATACGTGTTGACACAGCTGCTCGTGAACAGGTCAAGTCAAGGCCGCTGTTGCCCATGCTCTCAAGTCGGGTTACCGCCACATCGATGCAGCATTTGTGTACGGCAACGAGAACGAGGTTGGTGAGGGGTTGAAGGAGGCCTTCGATTCTGGGATCAAGAGAGAGGATGTATTTGTTACAAGCAAGCTTTGGTGCACATACCACAGGACTCCAGAGAAATGCCTCGACGAGGGGCTCAAGAAGCTCGGCCTTGATTACGTCGACCTGTACCTTATACACTGGCCTGGTAAGATGCTGGGAGACATTGATACGTGTGTGACCCCCACTGACAACAACAGTCCCCATGAACCCCAATGGAAATGATCCCATGTTCCCCAAGCATCCCGATGGTTCGCGGGACCTGGACACCGAATGGTCGCATGTCCAGACATGGAAGGAAATGGAGAAGCTCCTGAAGACCGGCAAGGCAAAGGCCATTGGCGTCTCGAATTATTCGGTCCCATACTTGAAGGAGCTCCTCGAGGTGGCTGACGTTGTTCCTGCAGCTAACCAGGTAAGAGCGGCGGGTCGTAAGAATTCGAAGACAGTGCGCTGACGTGAACCAGATTGAGAATCACCCATACCTCCCACAGCAGGAGATTGCAGATTTCTGCAAGGAGAAAGGCATTCTTATCGAAGCTTATTCGCCGCTTGGCAGTACAGGCAGCCCATTGTTCCAGGAAGAGGGCGTGCAAGAAGTCGCAAAGAAGCACAACGTTGGTCCAGGCACAATCTTGATCAGCTATCAAGGTAAGAGTTCCGTCAAGCCTGGTCCGGTTCCGTGCTAACATGGAACAGTGAACAAGGGTCACGTCGTCCTTCCAAAGTCCGTCACCCCATCTCGTATCGAAGAGAACCTCAAGGTCGTGAAGCTCGACAATTCCGACCTGGAAGCATTAGAAGGCATTCACAAGAAGAAGGGGCTCACGCGCTATGTTTACCCAGCATTTGGTGTCAAGCTCGGATTCCAGGACAAGGAGTCATAGAGGACTGCGGTGGAGGCGTAAATGATACCATTTCTTCCTCTGGAATGCATAGATGTAGAGTATACAGCGACATAAGCCTCTCTAGAAATCTCATCTCGCGGTCGACTTGTCGCGCTTTCGCACTGTCTCAGCCTTGTCCTGGAGGATTTCCTGAAGTGCTTCGTTGTGGCGAGCTAACAGAATGACATCCTTGGTATGCACGGTGGAACGTCCAGCATGCTTTGCAAAAGCCTCCATGTCTGTTGAAGCCTGTGCAATCTTTGCAGCTACCATTTCCGTGAGAGCTCCAATGAAAGCGGGCGCCGCATTGATGTTCGAGTCGATAGCGATGGAGTCGACTGTCTTGCCAAGAGAGTACCACAGGGCAGCTTTGAGGCGCTCGTCGCCCGCAGCAGCCTCGTCTGAGTGTGAGTGTGGCATGATGGCGGGGAGGTATGGGATATGGGATTGCAGAACACGACGCGCTGGAGACGACGCGTTTCTTGGGAAAGCTCGGCTCGGCAGAGTTTGCGCCACAAAGTCAAACGCAAGTCTTCTCTGCCAGCACCAGCATGACCCGATGGCTCGCGACTCCTCCTGCCACATATTCTACACTCCTGAGAAATCCATCTCTATCCACCATCGTCCTGCGGAGACACACATTCCCAGCGCCGATTTCAAGCCCCCGACGGTCACGGATATCATGATCACATCGCCTGGCCTCTGAACGTTGCTTCTCCGAGCCCCCTCGACCCTTCATGAAGATCGCATGTTTCGCTAGCCACTGTCCTCTGGTCAATGCCTCGAGTGTGCGCGAACATTGGCAAAAATGATAGGCAGAACGTCGAGCATGGCCAGCGGTGGAATGCGGCTCCGCTGCAGGTACACGTTCGGCGGCTAAGGAATGCTTCTCGCACCTCATGCCTTGCTCGACCAGCACTGCTGAACAGTCTAGCCACGAATCGTGAGTATGAATGCTGCAGAAAGATGGCCAGTAAGTCCCATGCACGATATATGGTAGGCGCTGCGCCCTTTTCACCACCACACCCCGACCCTTCCTTTCCTTAGCCCATATCCACAATGCCTTCAAGAAGGCAGCCAAGACTTTCTGTTACTTTACGCACTCTACTGCTATGCATACCCCCCAGCTTTGCGCATATGGAAATGCGCTGGCCATATCCACTACATAGCAAGTACAACCCAGACGCTGTCTCGGCCAACGTCGATTATAGCATGACATCGCCTCTATCCGCAGACGGCTCCAATTTTCCCTGCAAAGGCTATCAAAATGATCGACCCAAGCAGATCGTTGCGACGTACAATGCTGGCTCATCATACAACATCTCCTTGGCTGGCACTGCGACTCACAAAGGAGGTTCATGTCAAATATCCCTTTCATACGACAATGGCGCAACTTTCCGAGTCATCAAGAGCATGATCGGCGGTTGTCCATTGAAGACGACATACGACTTCAGCGTACCTTCTTACGCTCCCAATGGAAACGCGTTGCTCGCATGGACATGGCAAAATGAGGTCGGAAACAGAGAGTTCTACATGGACTGTGCAGAAGTCAACGTTGTGTCTGCGTCACAAAAGCGGCGGCGAAGACGAGACGTGCAGTCTTTCGATCAATTACCCTTCATCTGGAAGGCGAATCTCAAAGGAATCAATGATTGCACAACGACTGAAGGTGACGACCCTGTGTATCCCAATCCGGGTCCAGATGTTGAATACGGCAATGGATACAGCAGTTCCAGCACGTCGTCACCAGGGACATGTGATTCTGCAACTCCTTTTGGGCAAACATATGAAGATCTTGGCGACAGCACACTTTCACCTCCCACCGACACGGACTCGCCATCTTCGAATGGATCGGCAGTTAGCTATTCTGCGAATGCTTCTTCAATCACTACATCAGCCGCGCCGAAAACCACACCTGCCGAGTACAACTCTGATGACAGCATGACTGAAAGTTGGAATCATGGGAAAGGCGGATACAGAAACGGACATGGTTCTCACGACAGCGCGACCGAAAGCTACGATCGCGGCGATTCTGGACGACCCGGCTTTATGACCGAGTCTGGCTCCGACGACAGTGCCACCGAAGCTTGGAATAGAGGCGGAGGAGCTAGACCGACTGATTCTCCTCGTGCGCGCCCTGCCTCGACAGATAGCAGGTCAACAGTCACAGTCACCGCAGATTGTGAAAGCACCGTCATCGTCACCGTGTATCCAAGCGCAACTACACCGTCTACCCCTTCGACAATGACCACATCCACGACAAATCGAGCCTCGTCAACTGGCAGCGTCAATCCAGCTCCAACGAACTCTCGACCACCGTATGCCACAGGCAGCATTGAGTCCGTCAACGCCAAGTATCTCTCTTGCGTCCCAGGTACATTCCTCTGCACAAGCAAAACCACTTTCCTGACTTGCAACTACAACGATGGCACAGTCAAGTCAGACGAAACATGGGTCTACTCGAGTAGATCTGAGAGAACAGCTGCGGCTGGCATGGAATGTCTACCGGTCCTCGCTCCCTGCTCTAGCTCAACAGATCAGTACGATCAGCAAAGTGGCGTGAAGACTGGAAGCTACAGAGACGATCGATATATTCGAGAACGACCAGAGGGCGACTGCGATGTTGATGGAAGCTTCAAATGCACCGCTGATGGCACACAATTCTCGATATGCGACCATGGCGGCTGGGTAGCAATGGGAGCTGTGGCAGCAGGAACGACATGTTCGAATGGCGAGATTATTGCTTCTAGCTAGTATCAGCATGGACTTTGCACAGAGCGCGGCGTTCGAAGGCCTTTCTGCTTTTGATTTTTATGAAGTTATGATCTTGCCCATCTTCAGTGGGGGCTGCATAGTGATATGACCTTGATGGGCCACGAGGAACAACGGAACGCTTTAAACTCCTTCCCTAAATGCTTACATCTGCCACCACGAACATCCCATATATTCCAATTCTTCCCTTCTCGTCTTATTCTACAACCTCGCTTTCGACAACCCACCTGCTATGCACAAAACGTCAAATTCGTCCTCATAATCTCGCATCATCTTTCGCACCTGCAATGCTATCAATAATGACTTTCAGCACAAGCTTTCCATCGGCATCTTTCGTTTTACCCGCCATCTCAAAAGCCTTGACAGCTTCATCCAAGCCGGCGAAACGATGCGTGATCAATTTCGAGAAGTCCGGACCATCTGCTGACTTGGTGGCTTGAAGGACGAGATCGATGCTTTCTTGATAAGTATTGGCGTATCGGAAGACGCCTACGATGTCGACTTCTCTTAATGCTGCAGCTCCTAGGGGAAGAGTCTGGATGGGATGGCCCATTCCTACGAGCATTATTCGACCACCTGGTCGTGTTGACTACGAGGCATGTGAGCTACTGCCTGCAACATCAGACGATTGAATACTCACGTAAATCCCAGCTTGGACACATGACGGAACACCGGTACACTCGAACACGACATCCACTTCTCCAACATCATCCACCTTTCCGATCTCAGCAGCGGTTTCCTTCGCAATTGCAAGATTCTCGTCGATATCTTTCCCTCTCTTCATCGGAACGGTATAACTGTGATGCGCGAAACCATTTTCTACAGCAAATCCCACTCTCCCAGCATCGATGTCAGCGATGATAATCTTCTTCGCGCCCTTCAGTTTCGCAACAGCCGCACACAACAATCCCACGGCTCCCGCTCCAAATACCACAACGGTAGCATCCTTCGGCATAAGACTCCTCCGAAACGCATGCAACGCAACACCAAGCGGTTCTAGCAATGCCCCGACATCCAAACTCAAGTCTTCCGGCAATTTATACACCCATTTCGCCGGGTGATTAATCCTCTCCTGTAGTGTTCCTTGGAAATGCGGAAACGCCTTCCCACTACTTCTGAACTTGATATCTTTGCAGATGTTATATCTCCCTTCCCTGCATCTTTGACACTTTTCGCAAGGCAGACCGACTTCGAGCGCGACTTTGTCGCCAGCCTTGAAGTTTTCTACGTTGGATCCGACGGATGAGATTATGCCGGCGGATTCGTGGCCGAGACTGAGAGGTTCGCGAACGAGAATGTCGCCGTTGCGGAAGTGGGAGTAGTAATGTAGATCGCTGCCGCAGAGACCTGTGGAAGCGATTCGTACTTGGACTTCGTCTGCTGCTGGAGGTGAGAGGGTCCGAGATTCCTGGTTGCGGTTAGTTTTATCTTCTGCTTCGATTGTCTGAGTGAGTGAATGTCTGGCTCACCACGCGGAGGTCTTTCGCAGCGTGTAGAACTGAGGCCTGTACTTGGGCAGACATTGTGGGAGAAGATGACGGGCAATGCTTGTGCTCGAGAACTATTATGAGAGAATACTTTTACCACTCAAGAGACGGTCTTACTTGGGCCGGCCCTGTCGGCCTTTTGTGTGTACGAATATGTCTCCAGACATTCGCGTGGTCGGTCGTTGGAAACCCCCACCAGTTCGTTCCTTGAGTTGCCGATCGGACAATTCCTTTACCGTTGTACCGCAAATTACTCGAATGGCTGTATGTCTTTAAAGATATCCACACATTTATACCAAGTTCTCCGAAATTTCTTTACTATGTTCAATCTACTTATACCTAGCTAGCTTAGTAGAGATTAGAATACTATTAGTATTTTATAATATAAAATGAAAATTTAGCTAGATATTTTAACTTTAGATATCTTAGGTATAAAAGCTATTTATTTACATTATAGAAACTTTATACTAGGAATATTATAATATAGAAATTACTATTTATTTAAAATTTTAGTATAGATATAGAATATCTTTTAAATTGTATGCTACTAGTAGTTTCTATATTATAACTAGTAAGAAATAGATTTCTATGTCCCTATTATTTACTAAAGTAACTAATAAAGGATAGATAACTAACTAGAAGAAGATAATATTTCTATAAATCTGTCTTTTAATATTATACTATTAATATCTTAAATAATATACTCTAGTATTCTAAGCTAAACTTTCTAAGACGTATTGGGAATTCAGGTATCTATCTACCGACAAATAGTGTATGGAGCCATCGTCCTGTTGCCGATCCGCTGGTCGGCATTTGCTCGAGACCATATTGCTCAGGTACCGCCAGGACTCTTTTCCGCCCATGATTTTGCGCTCCTTTGAGAGGTGCTTCAGTAAATGGTAGAAACCTGCGATTTGAGGAGACTGCAAAGATGAGCTCCGTGCAATCGCTATTCAGCCTTGAGGGCAAGACTGCTCTTGTTACTGGCGGAACGCGAGGCATTGGCCAGGCCATGGCCATTGCTTTAGCAGAAGCAGGAGCAGATATTCTGCTTGTCCAGGTATGCAGAAAGAGGTGCGGAGATACCTTCTAAAGCTCACAGCATATAGAGGGATGAATCAAACCAAGCCACCAAAGAAGCGATTGAGAAACTCGGGCGGAAATCGCAAATCTACACAGCTGACCTCGCGAGTCACGAATCAGTGTCAGCTCTTGTACCAGAAGTGCTCAGTGATGGCCACCACATAGACATTCTCCTCAACTGCGGCGGCATTCAGAGGCGGCATCCTGCGCACCAGTTTCCAGACAACGAGTGGAACGAGGTCCTGCAGGTCAATTTGAATGCTGTGTTCACCCTATGCAGAGACGTCGGTGCTCACATGCTCGCAAGAGATGCGGATCAGTATGGCAGAAGAGGCAGCATCATAAATATTGGCAGTCTGCTGTCATTCCAAGGAGGCATAAATGTGCCTGCTTACGCGGCGTCCAAGGGAGGAGTTGCACAATTGACGAAGGCGTTGTCAAACCAATGGGCAGACAAGGGCATCACGGTCAATGGAATCGCTCCTGGATACATTGCGACAGAAATGAATACCGCGTTGATTAATGATGCGAAGAGGGCAGCATCGATCTTGGAACGGATCCCAGCAGGTCGATGGGGCAGCCCGGAGGACTTCAAGGGCAGTGTTGTCTATCTTGCGAGTCGAGCAAGCGCCTATGTGAGCGGCGAGATCCTGACTGTAGATGGAGGCTGGATGGGTCGATAGTTAGACGCACGTGCTGGCGTGTTGATGCGTGTATATACAATTCGTGGTTGTTTGTCTGAGCAGGAAGCTCAAGGGTGAAAGCCTTGGCACGAATCTCCGTCAGATGCCGCCTCTTTGCAGGCGAGCACAAACCATCTCTTCCCCAAATTTCATTGCCGAAAGACTTCATGAATCAGCCACAAACCGGACCACACACCACGGTCGACACGTGCCAGCGCCAGCTACAGTACAACTGACGGAACTCCCAATTTGGACTCACCGTGCCGCTCCGAGACTCGCGACTTCTGCCGGCTCGCTCTGGTTGTGCTACCTAGTACTGCCGGAATGCTCATGACACCACGGCAGTCGCTAGGTTGCTGCCTGCGACAGCAAGCTCGTTCCAGCAACTGCATGGACCCTGAAGAAGACCCTTCAGCTGTCCGGTCCCGTGGAGCCAACGGTGGGAAACGACCTCATCGTCGCCAGCACACCAGCTGGGGTCTGGGGTCAGAGCCGGCCCTGAAATCCACGTCTCGGTATCCCGGCAATTGGAGGCCAGCGGATCATTGTCGCGCCTATTCTGACCTCAAGACCTCTCCACATGCAGCGGGCTAGCCTTACGGGGTAAAAAGAACTACACTAAGGAAAAAGGAATCGCCGAAGTCACTGATCAGGAAGTGTATTCCACGGCCAAGCTCGGCGTAGCTGGTTCCAGTGGGACCTTTTACGCCATCCGATGCGGCCTGAAGCCTATCAGAGTCTGTATGACTACTCCAACACATGCATCGGAACATCATAGACCCAGGAGTGGGGGAGGGGAACGTTGAGACAATTTTCCTGCCTCCGACGGAAACGCTAACACGAAAGATTCTCCGGTCCTGGCCTATGGTTCCTCGCACGCAGGCGCTATCTCATGCGTGCGAATTGCGGCCTACGAGATCTGGTTTGGCGAAGGCGGATCCTGCGACATGTGACCCTGCATAGCATCGTATATGTGGACGCCAGGTGGGATCTGTGTGTCAGCCTAGACTGGGGAGCGCTCGCCCAACAACGCCTGCTTCGTACGTCTTCTTGCCTCCTCAGTGTTTGCGAGGTAAGAATCAGCATGTGGAGTCTCTTGGGCTTGCTGACCCAGGCGACGGCTGTGAGAGCCTTTTAAGTAGGTTTCCTTCTCGCCCAACGTACCTCGTCACTATATCTCCCAGCACTTGCAACTCTCTCATCACCAACGACCAGATTGTGTCCGACGTCACTTCTTTGATTCTTTGACTTTTGTTCTGTGATACCCCAAAGAGTTTCTTTCCTTTTGCACAATCTTCACCATGGCACCAATCGCCATCGAGACTCCAAATGTCAACGAGAACTTCAACGACCACAGAGATGGTCTCGCCTTGGAGGCAACATCAGACGCAATTGATGAAGTCAACGTGCTCAAGGCAGCTATACGGGTCAAGAATGGCACCGCAACGCAAGAAGAAGTCGACATGTACGAGAAGTCTAAATTCGATGAGGAGAAGGATAAGACGCAGTTCCGTCAATATGAAGAAGCCTGCGACCGTGTCAAGACCTTCTACCGCGAACAGCACGAGAAGCAGACCGTCGCATACAACCTCAAGGCACGCAACGATTTCCACTCCAAGACTCGTGCCGAGATGACCATCTGGCAAGCCATGGAGAAGCTCGACACCCTCATCGATGAATCAGACCCAGACACCTCCCTCACACAGATTGATCATCTCCTCCAAACTGCCGAAGCTATGCGTCGTGACGGCAAGCCTAGGTGGATGCAACTCACCGGCCTCATCCACGATCTCGGTAAACTCCTCTTCTTCTACGGCGCTCGAGGGCAATGGGACGTCGTCGGCGACACCTTCCCAGTAGGCTGCCGCTTCGACGAATCCATCATCTACCCAGGCACGTTCGTCGACAACCCCGACTCCAAAGACCCAATCTACAGCACAGAATACGGAATCTACACTCCGGGCTGTGGCCTCGACAACGTCATGCTCAGCTGGGGTCATGACGAATACCTTTACCACATCTGCAAAGATCAGTCGACACTCCCTGCCGAGGCCCTCGCCATGATCCGGTACCACTCTTTCTACCCATGGCACTCCGCCGGTGGATACAAGTGGATGATGGACGAGAAGGACCAGCAGATGTTCAAGGCGGTCAAGGCTTTTAATCCTTACGACCTGTACTCCAAGTCAGATGATATGCCATCTGCTGCGGAGCTAAAGCCTTACTATATGGAGCTTATCAATACCTACTTCCCACCTCGAGAGCGTGAGACTGAGCGTGTGATCAAGTGGTGATTGGTCATGGATGGAGACATGTGATATGCATTTGCGACGGCGTTTTATTTCATTAGCGACTTGATATAAGCTCCCGGTTCTTTAAAAAAAAAAGGGGTCGAGCCGTTAGGATGTGACGAAGATGATAGTTTTAACAAAAATCGATCATGACTGCATATGATTTTTTGACCCCTTCACTGCTCTTGAAATGAAGCGAGCGAGAAACACTCAATCTCAATGCTTAAGTTGCTTCTCTATCGAAGCCAAATCGACTTAAGACTCTCGAGTCCCTATTCCCGCTTCTCTACTTCGAATAGTCACAAATTACCCGTCCTGGTGTAAGACAGGACCGAGAGAGAGAAAAAATATATACGTCAAAGAGACAGCACAGCACAAAGATGAAATCGGGGACGCACCATCCGATTCAAATGCCGATTTACTCAGCAAGGCAAAATTCAAATTCAACCAAGCGAGGAACGCAACCTTGAAGGGCTCGTGCTCCACACACACCTTACCTTATTAGGTACCTTGCCATGAAGTTGACTGTGCCTTCTCGCCTCACTCGCACCTCCACCAAAATCAAAAAAAGATATCGCGCGCGCGACAATGACAGCAAGATCAGATTCCCCGGCGCCAACGCACTCCCGCAGTGTCTCACCAGAGTCGCCGCTCATCTGGCGAGACATCCGACATCCGGCCACATGATACGATCATCTACACCACAACTCTGCTCGCGCGGAGACGCGGGGGCGCAATTTGAAAAGGAGAGAATAAGGAAATCAAGGTCGTATGTCTGCTCATCGTCGCCATGACAGACGCGGCATCTCGTGTTTCAATTCGTCCTCTGATCTCATGCTACTACTTGCAAATCTTCTGCAAGCCAGGAATATCCTACTGATTGAGGTGCTGGAGGAAGCGAGAGGGGTAATTATACACCATCAACAAGAGCAGCCTCATTCTGTGAGTACAAGCAACGACCAAAGGCCGCGAGGAATCTGCCTCGCCATCTACTCCTCCTCAGACTCCTCGCTCTCGTCGTCGCCGCTGGTATCTGCATCCTGGGCTGGATATGCGTTCATGGGACTACCACTGCCGCTCATGCCCGGATTCTGGAATTGCGCCAGTTGCTTCTGGATGTTACTGATGGCGGCCTGCTGCTCCTGCTTACCCATCGGCTTATGCTTCTTACGCTTACCGCCGCCACCGCCGCGACCGCCCCGAGCAGATGGCGCGAAGTCGTCGTCATCCTCTGCAGCGAGGTCGTCTGGCGATGGCTGACGAGCGCGCTTATTCGGGTTGCCAAAGATGCTGCGCACGTATGTGAGAAGCATCGCCTGGACGTCGTTGGGCAAGTCGTCGATCTCGAGCTCCATCTCCTCTTGATCGGCGTACTTCTTACAGTTCGATGTGATGATGCGTGTGAGCTCCTCGACTTGACCGGCATCCATGTTGCCCACGGCCTCTGAGATCTCCTGCTTCTCCTCGTACGTCACTTGCTTTGGCTTCTTTGCCTTGGACTTTGCTGCTGCAGGCTTTGCCGCCTTTGCAGCTGGAGCGCCGCCCTTCTTGCTAGACGCCTTTGGTGCCTTGGCTTTCTTCGGCTTGGTCTGGTTGCCACCGCCGAGGCCAGCGAGTGCGCTCTGCATATCAGCGAGTTGCTTCTGCAGCGCTGCGATCGTGGCAGCTGGGTCGGCTGTGGCCGGATCTTCCTCCTCTTCCTCCTCCTCAGCGCTCTCCTCATCTGCGGAAACGCTCGCTTGTCGGACGCTCTGGGCCTTGCGGCGCTTCTCCCACTGCTCCTTCGTGCGCCACAGATCTTCGAACTCGCGCTGGAATGAGATGCCAAGATCACGGATGGCATTTCCTGGTGGGTTAAATGCAAGACAGTTCTGAACCATCAGCTCGAAGTCCTTCTTGAACTCCGCCGCACGTCCATATTGACCCTGGTTGAGCTTCTGCGTCATGGTGCTGAGATCCATGGGATGCTTCACGATCTGACGGTACTGCGGAATATTCAGAGCAACTGGATCCACTGGCGTCTGGAAGACATGGTTGACTGTGGCGTACTTGGGTCCCTTGAGTTGGTTCAAGACGTACTCGACGAATTTGAGCTCGGTCTGGTGCTCCTTTCGCTTGGGCTTGGCGTAGGCAAGCTCCTTAGCAGGAGGAGGCTTGATGGTGCGAGCTGGTCGATTCGTGGTCGATTCGCGACGGATCTGTGGTGTGCCATCTGGTTGCAGTGCGAAGGGTTCTGAGCTTGCGCCAGTCGATGCTGCAGTTGAGAGTGCTGGAGCAGGTGCTGCGGTCACCGCGGCGCTTCGTGACTCTCGTCGCGGAGGAGCAGGCGGCTTCGGCGAACCCTTCTTAGCTTGTGCCTTGGCCTGTTGATCTGCGCTGGGCACAGTCTCCATCATCTTCCGAAAGTAGGCCTCCATCGCCATACCAGCCTGTGTCACGGCATGGTTCGGTCCGTTGAAGGTCAAGGAGTTGTTGATGATTAGCGCGAAATCGTCTGCAAATTCTTGCACCGTCTTATAATGGCTCGATTTCAGCTTCTGCTCCATCGTACTCAGGTCCATGGGATTCTTGATGATCTCTGGATATGTGGGAATTGCCATGGCTACGGGATCAACAGGCTTCAAGAAGTAGATCGAATTCTTCGTCTTCTTCAGGTTCTTCATCTTCTCAATCAGAAATTTAAGCTGGCCTGTGGTCATAGGCTCTTTGCTGTACTGATGGCTCTTAGCCGCCGGTGCTTGGGGAGCCTCTGATACAGGTGCAGCGGCGGCTTCCACCGATGGCTTCACCTCACTCTCTGCAGTCTTGGCCTCCGGCGCAGAAGCCTCGGTTGATGCTGCCGGAATAGCGTCTCCATTCGTCAGGGGCGCATCCGACTGCTGCTGAGATGTTGTAGCATCTGCAGGAGCCTCTGCTGGTGGAGTTTCCATAGCTACATCGTCGGCGGACTCGGTCTTAGGAATTGCTGGAGCTGCCTGTTCCCCACCTGACTCAGTAGTCGGAGCCTCTGGAGCCGGCGCATCCTCCTGTGCCACCACGGGAAGGCTCTCGACAGCAGGCGCATCTTGCATGGGCACGTCCTCCGTCCGACTGCGCTTGGCTGCACGTTCCGCATTCTCCTCGTCCTCCTCGTCGTCCTCCCGTGGTCGCACCAAGCTGGACTCATTCGATGCCACAGCTGGGGCAATGACGGGTTCCGGTGCAGGCGCTGGTACAGGAGTTGGTTCCTTTGGTGGCGCAGTCATTTCGGTGTCGATATTGGCCTCCGATGCGACCAAGGGCTCATCAGGCGGCGGAGTGGGATGGGATGTCGTCGGTGCCTCCTTAGGGACGAATTCTGCGACGGGCGCAATACCTGGCGCGACATTCTCAATCGGTGTTGGTGCAGCGGGATTTGGATGTGCGGGTGCTACACTCGCGACACCGAGGCTCGGATCGGTCTTGGAGACTGCAGCATTCTCGCCGAATGCTTCGGCATTCCGGTTCTCATCGATCGCCATGGGTTGTTCGTGATCGCTGATGTGACGGGTTAGCATGTGGGGCGGTAGTGATGCGCGACGGCGATGCGATGCCTATTTGTGCGAGATTGCGAAGTAACGTTGATGTCGGTGAGGCGAAATGAAAGTGGCAAGAAAGAAATATTGAATACGTACCCATTAGTGAGTGGCGCATCGGCAGGCAACGACGAAGTGACTAGCTCGTGCTGCGCGACGTCCGACGCCATGCTCGTGAATCGATTATAAAGGTTGCAAGTGTAAGTGAATCCCAGATCAATAAACTCGCGGCACGTGATCTCGCGGCGGCTATGTTGATTTGATGCGGGCGAACAACGCGACGCTACTTTGATGGTCGCGGCGACGCGGGAGAGGTGCGCAATTATTAGTGACACGTAAACAAAGGCGCGTGTCGATGATGGAATCAAAGAGCCAGATCAGGTGAGGAGCGGAGGGCGGCGGCGGTTGATGTTTCGCTTTGAAGATGGATGAGGCTCTGTGCGCATGTGGATTGAGAAGAGGATCGTGGGATTGCAGAGGTCGAAATAAATGGCAAGACAGCCGGCTAACGCTCGGGCCTGCCCGCTTCTTGCCAGCCTGCAGCGAAAGTCTTGGTTGGAAATTCGCGGAGAAGGCACGACCGCAGAGATGACGCGCGGGATTCAGCAAGCCGCCAGCGAGGGCGAGAAAAAGCGGACGCTCTCGCGCGCAACGGCCGCAGAAGGGTTAGAGATTATTGTAGATGGAACCCGCAAGTGCGATGCTGCTAGCTCAAGCGAAAATGCTTGTGCTTATGCAGCGCCGCAAGAGATATGCAGGCAGGCAGGCAGGCAGGCAAGCTGGCGGGTGGCGCGGGCGATGCTTGCGACGGCGAAAGGCTCGAGACCTTGTGGGTGCCAGCGCCGTGAAATATCGCGCAACGCAGGCGACTGTTCTGGTGCAGCCGGGTAGCTTCCAGCGACAAGCACGCCAGAAAAGTTGCAGGTGGCGGAAGGGCGGCCAGGCAGCGGGGTCAGAGGGCGGAAAGAAGCGCGTGGTGAGAGCAGCAGCAGGAGAGAAGAGAGCAAATGTTCGAGGGAGTGGAAGGGAGCGTGCCAGTACTTAAGAACTTGACGCGGCGCCGGCGAGCACGCTGATTGGCGCTGACAGGGAGAGAGGGGTGTGCAAATTTCACGCTGCAGCGCGGCCTCACGAACATGCCGTCGCCAGCGTCGCGTTGGGAGGCCGTCGCTCGTCTGTTATGCCTTCTGTCCGTCACTCGCTGTTTGATGCAATCGCCGCTGGTGTGCGTGTGCGAGTGCGTGTGCGAGTGCGTGTGCGTGTGCGTGGTCTGTCAGTGACGGGCGTGTAGATGCAAGGTGTTGTCCTCGTCTGCCTGCCCACTTCTCAGATCTCGTCAGCCACGGTCATAGCACTAGTCCCCTTACGTCCTAGCTTCCAAAATCTCGACACTCACATTCTGGCGTCCAAGCAGAAATAGAGCTTGCTGCAAGTGAAGACACCACTATTCTAGCACCACTCCACACTGGCAATGCTGTCGCTATGAGCGCCGCACAGCGCTTACGACAGCGACAGGCGGAGGCGCAAGCCACATCGCCCGCCCCAGCCAGCAAGCGTTTCAAATCCTCTCACGTCCCCTCCAAACCCAACGGCCTGCACTTCCTTGTGGACGAAGAAGCAAGAGCCGGTAAGCAATTGAGTGCGAAGCTCACAAATGGCGTGGCGAGATCGAAGACGACCAGGGTGGATGAGTCTCATGCCGCGGTAGCGCAGGATGAAGAGTCGGAGGACGAAGAGGAGACGGATGAGGAGGAAAAGAAGCAGCAGCCGAGTGAGGTAATTGAGATCTCGAGTGCCGACGATTCAAGCTCGCTTCCGGATGACGAGGAGGACGAAGTCAACGCTGCACCAGCGAGACAGGATGAAACATTGGTCAATGGCCATGAAGTGCACGCTGAACAGCTCCAAGTTGTCGAAGGCGCGGAAGATCTGGAGATGGAGGACGGAGAACCCGAGGAAGAACCCACGTTTGGAGAACAGCTACAAGCACGACACCCAGACACGATCGATCTACAGAAGACCCAGGGAGGCGTAGACGGCAATGGTGCACTAGTCCCTGGTGGAGATCGACGAGTAGTAGAGGCACCAACAGCTGGATCGCTCGGTGTGGTACTGGCCCAAGCGTTGAAGACGAACGACAAAGATCTCCTGGAAAGCTGTTTTGCCATGACCGATGTGAACGCTATCCGAGCCACCATTCAGCGCCAACAATCCCAGCAAATCGCAATATTGTTGAAGAGATTGGCGGAGCGTATACACAAGCGGCCAGGCCGCGTCGGAAAACTCATGATATGGATTCAGTGGTCATTGGTCACGCACGGTGCTTACCTCGCCAATCAGCCTGCGTTGATGAAGGAGCTGAAAGCTCTGGCTCAAGTGACTCGAGCAAGAGCCAATGGCTTACAGCCTTTATTGCATCTGAAGGGAAAGTTGGATCTTCTCAGCGCACAACTCGAGGCAAGGAGAAATATGCAAGCCGCATCAAGAGCAGCAAATGATGAGGACGACGAAGATGGTGTGCTGTACATCGAAGGACAGGAGCGAGCATGGTCAAGTGACGAGGAAGCGGAAGCCCAACCTTCGGGCAAGCCTGGCAAGCAACCTGCTGCCACTTTAGCAAAGGCCATTGATGGCGGTGATAGCGATGAGTCTGCCGATGAAGACGAGGTACCGAATGGCTTCATCAACGGCATCGAAGACGACAGCTCGGCGGATGAAGATGAGGACGAAGAACGAAATGAACTGCTCGATGACGAAGCAGAAGAGGCCTCTGAAGACGAGAGCTCCAACGACGATGCCGATAGCGCCGCTTCGTCAATAGACGAAGATGAAAGCTCAGATGGCGAGGAGAGTGAGGCTGAAGCGATCAAGCAACCCAAGCCACAAACGCTGAATCGCAAACGATAATGGAGGTGAAACTTTTTGGCAGCAAGTATGCATGGCGTTACTGGCGTTCAGGTAACATGGCAAGCAAGTGGGTAGGGGACTGTGCATATGACCACAACTGTGCACAATAAGATGCCCATTGCCCACACACAATCCTGTACTTACTTTACATACTTTGCTGCGCAGCGCTGCACTCAGCACTGCCTTTGGAAAATGGCTTGCATAGCGGTCGGCGTTCGATAGAAGCGCTGTCAAACAAGATAGCTTCAATGCAGCAGGAGAGGCGATGCGCTTCTCGTCATCTCCAGCATCCCGTCAGCATCAGTCATTGCCACGCGAGAAAGGAGTTGTCAATTCAAGCAGGAGCAAGTCGCACTTGCCACGTGCCTTATGCAACATCAACATCAGGTCGAAGGAGGAGAAGGAACAAATGATGCACACAGCTATACATGAAAGCCAGCCTCTCACGAAAACGCATCGCCATCGCCATCGCCATGGCCGTATATCATGCATGCATCGGTGAAGCAAAGCAAGAACTCTCCTCCCTCGTTAGATCAAATCATCCATCCCACTGCAAGCAGCTGCACAAATGCACAAATTCTTCATTCATCATCTCCATCGTCAAACATGAACACGCTCATCACCACCACCCCTTCTAACCCCCCAACTCCCCACCACACTCACTCATGCCCACCCGTCCCCGTCCCCGTCAACCTCAAAACCCTCCCAACCTTCTCCTTCAACCCATCTCTCGCACTCCCCTTCTTCCTCCCAATACTCTTCTCAACCGGTCCGTTTTTAGGAGGCCATTCCCCATCGTCTTTCCAACCTTGGACCAAAGCTTTGATCAACGTCAAAAGATTTATAGGAATGGAGGGGGTGCGGGATTGGAGGATGATTTTCGTGTAGATTTCGGGGTACATGTTGTGGTTGATTCTTCGGCGGATGGGGTGGTTGGGGAGGAGAGGGGGTGCGATGGGGACGAGGACTTCTATCATGGGTGGGGATGTGATGGGAGGTGGGACGGGTGGAGTGCTGGCGGTCATGTCTGGTGTTGTTGAGGGTGTGGACTCGGGGGTGTCTGGCGTTTCGTCGTTTTCTGGATCTGCTGGATTGCCGTCCTCTTCTACGGATGAGGAGGTTGAGGCGCGAGGGCTGGATGTGCTGGCTGAGTCTGAGTCGGCATCTTCTTCGCCTTCTTGTGCGTCTTCCTCAACGGGATTCTCATGCGATTGTACTTCAGCCACGGTTCTGGCGGAACACCATATATCTCTTCTCCGCATCCAATGCGCCAGCCCATCGTTCCACTCCATCTCCTCTTGTAACCTGACTTGCCTCCTGCGTTTCCTCGCATGCCTTCGCTCCCTCAATTGCGAGCCCACACTATCCGGTCCCTCAAATTTGTACTCACTCTGCTTACTTTTTGCAGAAACAGAGGACCCCTTCACTAGACTCGCCTCTCCCTCAGCATCCGAGGCATCCAAATCTGAACACTCCCGTTCCCTCCATTCCGTAGGGTTGAAACTCAGGCCTAGTGCTCCATTGCTCGCATTAGGGCCTTCTCTATCATGATTGCTCGGAGTGTGAAATCTGAAGCCCGCGATCCCATCCTCAATATCTTCTTCTGTAGCCGGTTCCTTTTTACCACTCGATCTCCATGCCGGTAGCGTGGGGTATTCCCAGTCATCTTTTATGCGTTCGCGCAAAAGTCGCCGAGCATCTCGCAATTCCTGCTGTTGCTCACTGCTCCGATGATGAGAGCCTGGTAAATGCATTGTCGTTACTGCATCCGTGGTGCCACTCGTTCTCCGTTTCTCGTTGGTGAAGCGTTTCCAGAATCGCGAGTCTTACTGTTGCTGCCGCGTGCTACGGATGCTATGCGGGAATACAAATGGTATCTCAACGGCTTCGCTCGCTTTCTACCGTTTTAGGATGCTGAAATGCGCTGTTTGTGCCTGGAAATAGAGGCAGGCTGTACAAATGGCTTGCTGCGCTTTCGTGGTATTGAATAGGGAGAGACGTAGTTGCAGCATGTCACGCAGCAAGCAGACGTCATGTTAAAGGCACAGGAAGGTTGGCGATTACGCGCGCAGATCAAGATCGAGACTTTGTGGGATTGTTCGGCTCAGCGCGCTGCGGAGCAACTCACTCCTCTTGGAAGCTCTTTGCTGCCCTCCAAGAAAGCGTCATCGACCAACGCAGGCCATCCTGGCCATTATTTTGCCACATCATCCGCTTTGGGCATACGCCGCTCTGTCACAATCCTCATTTCTGCTATTCCTGATATACTCGCTTCATTGGTGTGCATCGAATATCGGAGCACAGAGATCTTCGCAGACCAGCAACGGTAGTTGTGCGCCACGTTGCAAGGTTTACAGATCTGGAAAGCTTCGGTTCCTTTGCATCTACGTGGCTAAGAATATCAACTTCTGCCAAGCGAATTTTCATTATGGATTGAGGATTCACTCTGATGTGGAGGCATTCATCAGGGGCGAGCAAGCACCTGTGTCGAGCTGAACGAGCCCGCGACCATGGCGGATGGCAGACTCTACAGGGGGCAGTCGCTGGAGATATCGCTTCGGCACATGTGATTTGAAAGCGACGGAGAATGATCAAAAGAAAGAGAGTGAGAAAAGATTTATGTTTGATCCAACTTACCATGATTGTTACTGACCTACCCAGAAACCGATCCAAGAACGAAGACACGATCCTCAAGAGAGAGAGGGAGAAAGCTCTCAACTTACCTTTTAAGCCTGCAAAAAATAGTAATCAAGCAGCTCCTCCCAAGTACAGGCTCCAGTACAATACGCCGCCATACCAGCAGCCTTGTGACGAGAAACCCCTCCTCGTTCCGCACGATCGACGGGATCGAGAACCTGCATCTCATAACTCGGTCCGGCCGTAGTAGTATGTACAGATTCAGGTCTCGCGGGGAGTGGCAAGGGGCCATTGACGCTCTGATGAATAAAATCAGCAGCCTCCTGTTCGGATTCCAATTCTTTGGCTTGGTTGAGAACGAAATCGTAGGAATTGATTCGGGTTATTTGGTGCTCGGGTTCCATGATGAGGTCTTCTTCGTCTTCGTCTTCGAATTCTTCTTCGACCGGCGAAGGGAATGCGTTGGAAGGACCTGCTGCGAATGGATGAGTGTCGTTGTTGAGTGATACCTCCTCGAATCCCATGACCTGCTCTGCCGCTATGCTGAAGGGTCGAGAGGCGTGGTAGTAATCCTCTCGTGAGAAAGATGAGTGGGCTTCAGACATGGCTGGAAGAATTTGGGTGAGGGGATTTTGTTGCTGATGCTTGATAGACCGCTGGTGCAAATTCTTCTGGGTCGAAGGGTTCGTGGGAGGAGGAATGAGGAGAAGAACGGAATTGTGTTCGTTGGATTCGATATCTTTATACTTTGTACGGGGCTTGCGAAGAACAATGGTGAAAGAATTGCGGTTTGAACAAGTAAACAAATGGAGACAAGGGAATTTCTACATTGCCATTGTTCCTTCTTTGTACGTAACAAAGCTACGGCGATTCGCGGCAGTGGGCAGTGCCTGCACTGACGGATTTCGAACTCCAGATTCACAGAGGGTCAGCAGGACGTTGAGAAAGAGAAAGTGACCTGTATATGGGAAAGGCAATAAAATATTGCATTCTCCCCCAATCAATCCATCCTTGACATTCTCGACAAACATCGCGAAAGCTCGAGTGACATCCTCCCAGAAATCCTATTTATACAAATTCCAAGCTACGAATCGAGCTTTCAGATCAGATCTCGTTCATTACATTCATGACAAAAACAGTTTTTGGCTTCATGCTAGGTGATATGATACAGGGGTGATCCCCAGCCAAGGATCGATCGCCGGTCGTTTTGATACATCGGCAGAGACACTATGAAACAGCCAGGGCGGCACTTCGTAATTTGTAGAGTTCGAGAAGGTCGTCCTGATCGTGATCAAGATAGACCTGTATGGTGTGAGCAGACTTTTGTGAAAGCGGTCGTTTGGTGTTGCTTCCGACGCTGTAATTCTGCTGCTGAAAGTCCAAGGAAGAGTCGTGACGGCGTCTACGCATTTGTTGCTGTTCGCTGTGTGTGTTGCTGTATTTCGGTGGTGGAGGTGGTGGCATCGAAGGTGGCGGAGGTAAGCTCCTGCTGTTGTCCTTTGGCGGTACCGATGGAGCTGGTTTAGGGAAGTTCCCGAGCTGGACATCGAGATCTTGCAAAGATGGCGAATCTAGGTCATCATGTCCTGAGAAGGGGCTTTTCAGAGGCGCATCAAGGTCTTTGAGCGGACTCATGGTAGGCGGGTCTGCAGCTCTGGCTCTTGGCTTGTAGGAATATGAGTCAAGTTCGATCTCAACTTCGGTCTCCGTTTGCTGTCCTGGACTCGGTTTGGCGATGCCATCTGGCAATTTGATCAGAGGAGACCTTTGTCCGTCCTGAGACATCATGCCAAGAATCTTCGCAGCTTTGGCGCCATCAACACGAATTTGCTTTAGCGGTTCGAAAAGCTCGTCAACTGTCGAAGTATTTGAGCTGGACGGCCGCGATATGCCGTCCGTATGGGACATTTGATCGATGAAAGATTCTCGCGACAGAGGACTAACTACTCCCGTAGGTGGCTCGTTGAGTGAGTCACTCTCCTCTTTCAGCTGCTCAAGTGCTTCAGAGGGCTCATGAAGCGGCGTGCGTCGCTTGGCTTGTGGACTTTCGCCTATCTTGAGGCTATTGTCAGATGAGTGGACATCCGCAACGTCTGATCTAGAGGTTCCGGAAAGCCTGTAGTCGTAACTGTCGGCATCACTGGCGTAAGACGCTGTTCTCGGGAAGCTCGAGCAGGTCGATCGATTCGCAGAGAAGCCATCGACAAGGACGTCAGGCGTAGAACGGCCGGTCGGGATGAAGCGGCTTCCCGAATCCATCGAAGGTGCGAAAGAAGTTTTGCGAGAAATGGCCATGGATGCAATCATTGCCGCAATGTTGTCGGTAGGCGATGTCTTATTCTGCGATGTCTGTGCAATGAGTGCTGCTATTGTGTCCTCCCTACGACATTCCAAGGACTTGAGTTTCGCAATGCATATATCCATAGATGAGCTTGTCGCCGCCAGTGACAGTTGCTCGTCCAGAAGCATGTTGCAGTACTCCAGGTCAGGCTTCTGATCCTTCAGCTTTGCGATGATGCTGTTTGACACCTTCTGCCTCTCTACCCTCAGGCTGGCATATTTTTCGTGCAAGGCCTCCCGTTGCTCTGATATGCTTCTCAAGGTTTCAACTGGGTCGCTTTGTTGCGGCGCTGAAGGTTGCCGGGACAGCAATTCGGTCATCAGCGAGCGACTGATGCTGCCAGATTCCGAGCTTGGAGATACTCCATAGGTCATGATACGGGGGCTTGCAGGTGGTGATTCGATAATTTGAAGTGCGGCAACATTTGTTGCTCCAGCAGCAGCAACTGCTGCGAGAGCGGCATTGGGAGCGCGCTTCATTGGAGATTCTGATTCAGCAGAAGGAGCGGCGGTTGGTTCGGCGCTCTGGAGCGCGGCCACTCTCGCTCTCGCTGCTGCGACAGCCGCCAGTGCTGCATTCGGTGACCGTCTTGGATTCGAATCTGGTTCTCCCATATCTTTGGCCGCATTCTGGCCGCAGGTCGACCCAATTGATTGAGGCTGACTAGCTGCATGCTTTCGAATGACTTCTGCTATGCTTCCAGGAGAGGGGCTCTGTTGCTGGTTCGCATTGGCGGGGCGCTGGTCTTGCGTCGGAGTCGAAGGCGCATGATCGATCGACATCTGATTGCGGCTCGATGGTCTGGGCTCACTTGCAAACACACTAGGCACAAATGCAGGACTGTGCAGTGGTCGCGATATGTTCACTGTCGAAAGGTTGTTGTGTTGCAGGTTCACCAAAGATCTCTTCGGTGGCAGTGAACTGGTTCGCGTACTGCTACATGGTACAGGACCGTTTGAAGTGTTCGGCCTTGAGATGGTCGGGAAAGCACTGAATTTACTTGCCGGGGCTTGGAGCGTCGTTGAGGCAGCATCGCACATTTTTGGCGATTGCTCTGACGCAGTTCGCGGACGAGCCGATATCGATGATACCGTGAGCTCGCGATCCTTCACGCCTCCACTGAGAGGTACGAGGGGCGGCTGCTGGGCGAGTTTGGGTGGATTATGCGGCGTCTGAGGCAGATCGAGATAGGATTGTAGCGTTGCAGGTGAGATAGGCGAATGCGAGTCTCTTTTGGGGAGATTCTCCGACTTGGTGTCGTTCTTCCAGTGTCTTGGTGACTTGGATGGTGGCGGTGGTGGTGGGGGGCTCTCGTCTTTCTCAGTCTTGGCAATGGCAATGCGAAGATTAGGCTTCGGTTTCGCCCTGTGACGCTGAGCGTGAACCTGGTCCTGGCGGATGTCGTGTGGCACAGGGGTGGAAGGTTGACGTCGGGAAGATTGTTGTGCGGCGTGTTGGTTGACATGGGACTGCACGACGTCGTTGGCCATTATTATTTTGGCGTTTGATTTAGAGGATTCGCCCGGTGCGCTATTGGAACGAGTGTGGGCGTTTTCATCGGCCTGGGCACGGACGTCTGAAGCGGCTTTCAGCGCTCGTCCTGCCGGAGGGTGCGAGGCATATTGGTCGCGATCTCGAAGGGGGTGAAGAGGGCGCAAGTCAGGCAGGCTGCCTTTGCGAGCCGCAGGGGAGGTGGTCGCTGGGAGTGTTGTCTGCCTCGAGGCAGGGAGACATGGCCTCGCTCCATGGTCCAAAGATGAGGATCGGCGACGGCTGAATCCGGCGGAGGCTCTGCTGAGAGTGGTTCTTTGCAGCGTCACGGGCGCGGGCGAGGGCGGCGGCGTTGGCTCGACAATGGGGAAGAGTCGATAGGATGCGACGCCGCGTCGTGGTCGTCCAAGGTCGTGGGCGTGGGCGCGGGCGTGGTGAGCGGTGGTGGTGGTGGTTGAGGGGCTCGGGGAGGGAGAGACACCTCGGTCCATGCTGTGTGTGACCACGGCTCACGCGGAGGGCATGGCGGATCTGGCTCCAGTGTCGTCCGGGAGCAGAGAACCGGTCGAGCTCGAGGACATGTAGGCCTTTGTAGCAGGCAGTGCAGCAGCAGCAGCAGCGGCAGCAACGGCAGACAGCAGGGCAATAATAATGCAGATACGACGTCGTGGGAGCTCCGAAACGGGCGTCTGTCGAGTGCATGATAGATCTTCTCCGCCGAGGCCCGATCCCCTTCAACGGCGTGCACTACGGTAGACGGTAGTAACGGTACTGTATGTATGAGACAGGCCTGGGAGTCGCTAGCGCCCGCTCAGAGCCTCACAGCAGAGCAGGGGTGCCTAATGATCGACTACTGCGACAGGCCTCTATCTACGGTATTGAACATTCCCACCGCAACAGGCATCAGCACTGCAACTTCGCCAGCATGTCCGCCATCTGACATACACTACTCCGGAGTCCGTGCACTCGATCTTGCTCTGCCGCGCCGACGCCTGTCTGTCTTCCGCTTTCCACCACAACGCTGGCGCTTGGGAGCCTCGCAAAATGCCTTGTCAGAACACTCGGCTTTTCCAAATGCCGTGAGCAGTCGTGTTGGCCGACTTGGCGAACCGCGATCTTCTTGCACGTTGCATGTTGCATTGAGCCACTCACACCGTCACTGTGGCCGTCGCAGTAGTTGCAGCAGCAGCGAGTCGTGCTATAGCATGTCCACTGTCAAGGTCAGGGTTAGCCCTGCTGCCCACTGTCGCCGTCATTATAGGGACCTTCAGAAGCCGCCAATTTGCAGGGGCCTCTCGAGGTGGGTCAATAAGGTAGATACGAAGGTTACTACCCCATCCTTCGAAGGCTAGTTTTCCATCCCTACGAGTTATTAACTCGTACACCTAGACCGTGCTTGTAAACGACTCCGTTTAAAAGTATATAATACGCTATATCGATAACTTATAGGGATAGTAATCCTACCTTAGCTAGAAGTAGAAGGAGGCTTAAATCCTATCTAGCTTAGCCTACTAGAGGCAGAGATTATCGACCTAGGCTCCGGCTCTTCTATACTAGTATTTACTACTCTAGTCTATCTACTATAGGTACCGCCTATATCTATCTAAGTAGCTCTTTATAGTAAGTTAGATAACCCTCTTTATATAGATATCTCTATAGTCTTACTAGCGCTATAGTATTTAATCGAAAGTCTATTACCTATAATTTAGTTAGTTAAGTAGCTACTATATAGCCGCTCTATATCTATAGTAGGCTTTAAGTTATTAAGTTAGCCTATATTAGGACTAAAGAGGTTATGTATAATTAGTATATAACTAGGCTCGAGTAAAGCTAGGGTCTTAATGCCTTAGGTAGGGCTTAGCGCTTAGCAATAGGCTAACTCTCCTACCTTCCTTCCTCTCCTCCTAGATCCTTATCGAATACTACTTATACCTACTACTACCCTATCTACCTACTAATATAACCCTTCTTATATAGTATTCGATCTACCCTTTAAAGGTAGTAGCTAGATAGTCCTTATTTTAAGCTTTTAGCGGTATAGCTACGAAAACTGTTAATCTAACTATATTGCGCCCGAGGTAGGATCTATATATACTATTCTATTAGAATAACTATACTAATTATTAAGCAAGGTCTTCTATACGGCCTATTATACTAAGTTAACCGTACTAGACCGATACTCGCTAATTTCGCTATATCCGTACTAAAGGGGCTAATAATATATTATTAGTATCGCCTCTTATAATAGCCGGTTTATTACGAAATAACAACCGCGGCGCCGCTAGTAGCGCTAGCAATAACAATACTAGTAGTATAGAGCCTATTAATAAAGAACCTATAATTCTAGGTAATAACCTAGAATTGCCTATTAACGATATTCTTAATAATATTGTTAATCGACGATATAGCTAACTAGCCTTTAGCCCTTAAATAGTAGGGAGACTTTAAGAAGCTACCTAAAACAGGTTTACTGCCCTACGCTAAGAATAATAGCTAAAGGACGACCTCCTCGAACTTCGCCGCCTTTAGGAAGCCCCGATAACTAAGCTAATAGTAGGACCTTCTTTATTATCTATTTAGAAGAGGAAGGATACTAAACTTAAGGACTATACTATATTTAACAGCTCTAGCCGCAAGCAATATAATAATTATATACGTAATTGTAAGCTTAACTAGCGAAATATACCGAGGGCTCTTCTAGACGACTATTTACTAGTTGTCTACGCTATATAGTACATTAATAGCGACCTAAAGCGTATATAGGATAACTATTTCGACTCCCTTAATAACTAGACTGCTATTTAGTAGCAAACCTATAAAACTATTATACTAGACACCCTTAGAAACCCTATACTAAGGCAACAATATACCTAGGACTAATACCTTCGAGCTAAACAAAAGACTAACTAGTCGGCTCGCTTATTTAAGGCCTATTTAAAGACCCTCGAGGATAACCTTCCGGCTAAGACTAATTCTATATAGATCTCTAAAATACGCCCTAAGCTTAGGTAGGAGCTTATTCTCGAATTGGACCGCCGCCGTATATTTAAATAGGCTAACCTAATACGTATTTAATTTATAGTCGAAGTAGAAATAGCCGAGCGAGCTGTTTAGCTTTAGTAACGGCTAGAGTCGAGGATTCGACTAACTAGTACTAACCGTAGTAACCGTAGTAGCTACGGAGGAAACTAAGGTTCCTACTAAGACAATAATACTAATAGTAGGAATAGTAATAACGACCGTAGGAGAGGCCGTAGCCGGCGGCTATATAGAGGGGGCCGTAATAGGGGCCGTAGAAGGGGCTTATATCCCTATAATACTAATCGCTCGACTAATAATAGCAACAATAGCTATAGTAGCCCTCTAACCGGATTAAAGTGCTTTAACTATAATAGCCCTAGCTATTTACTAGGCTAATACGATAAACCTAAGGAGTAGGCCCGAATCGACCGTACTACCGCTAAATACCGAAAGCACCTCTTAGCCGCTATAAGAAGGGTTATATTAGCAGGTAGATAGGGTAGTAGCAGGTATAAGTAGTATTCGATAAGGAGCTAGAAGGAGAGGGAGGAAGGCAGGCAAGTTAGCCTATTGCTAAGCGCTAAGCCCTACCTAAGGTACTAAGATCCTAGCTTTACTTAGCCTAGTTATATACTAATTACATATAGCCTCTTTAGCCCTAATATACGCTTCCCTTCTAAAGGCCGCGCCCTTGTAGCCGGTCTTTATTCTAATCTCAACCTCTATTACTACTAACTTAGTAGGTCTAATAAGCCGCTTAGTCCGCGCTAAATTGAATATATAACTACCTATTATATAACTATATTAAACCTTACCTCCAATACAATATAATATATAACTCTAACTGCGCTATTCTTGTATATAATAAAGTAATATATATCTACGAGAATTAAGGGCCTTCGACTAATTATAATACGAGCGCGTCTTCTCTACTATAATAGGTAGACGTACGAGGTATTGTAGCCCTGCCTCCGCTCTAAGTAATATCGTACCGAGTTCTTTGCGTCTACTCTTAAAAGACCTAGAAATGTCCGCTCCGAGGGTTTGTCTATTCTAAGGGTTGTTCTTATTATTACGAGGACTATTATTTACTATCGTAGTTTTACTAGCCCTAATTAGTTAGGTTTAGCAGCCTTTAAGTGTTAACTAATTATATCTTTTTAAAAAACTCAGTTCTTTTAGTTTCTATAGGTAAAGGCTATTATAAGTGTAATAGTTAAGGTTCGCCTCGCTTAAAGGGTCGGAAAGATCGAGGAGTAACCTATTGTCCGTAAGATCGACCCCGGCTAGCTTAGCTCTATAGTTTTTGCCCTTAGTTAGTTAGTCTATTAGTCTACTTAATCTTTTAAGCGGCTTAAAGTTTTAACTTAGCCTTAAAGTTTTAATTAAACCTTTAATATAGCTATTTCTTTAACTTAACTAGTATAGTGCGCTCTAGCTCGTAGTATAGGTAAGGTTGTACCTATAGGCGTAGCGACAATAGCAAGTAATGTTAATAATAGCGGCGCTAGTCGTCTTAGCGCTAACTTTACCTCGCTTCTAATCTTCTCCTTTAACTAACAATATACTCCGTAACACTATTACTAATATAGCCGCGCCGGCCGCGCCGTTGTTATTATTATTATTACTATCCGCGCGCGCTATCCCCGCCGACCGCCTAGGCCTCGAGATCTCGATAGAATAAAGGGGCGCTAAGAGAAGGGTCTTATAGAGTACGCTAATAAAGAGGTAGTTCCCTAAAAGAGTAGCAAATAGTTAATACATTATAGCGCGCCTAGTATAGTCTTATTGTCCTAGTTTGCCGGCCTCTAATTAGTTAGCTAATAGCACCCCGGGGGTAGCATTATCCTAGGCCTTAATAGTAATATTATAAGCTTTTAGCCTTCTTCTTGTTCTTTACGCTAGTCTAATACTTATCTAATAACTCGGTTATATCCTTAAAGGAACCTTTAGCTTCCTACGAGTCCTATTTAGATAAATAGCCTTACTATCTTAATAGGTACTCCTTCTTGCCTTTCCTAGTCCGGTAATGTAGGATACGTTCTATAGACTATAGCTCTTTACTATTAGCTAGTATATCCTCGGATTTAGCAGGCGTCTTATCCCCTTTACGTAGGTAGTACGGCTTAAGGAGGGATATATAGAAGGTATTATAGATAGTATAATAAGGAGGAAGCTACAACTAGTAAGCCTATATACCCTTAGCTTCTCGAATGCGGAATAGGCTAATATATCTTAGTACGAGCTTAGGCCTTGTTTTACTATTAGGCGATAGGTGTTTGCGGATACGGAGGTTCTTAGTACTTAGCATAACTATATCGCCTTGCTTAAAGGTTATTAGCGTATAGTGTTTGTTATAATAGGCCTTCTAATAGGCCTAGGCCTTTGCTAGTTTGTTAGCTGTCTTAGCGTAAATTTCTCGCATCTTTTAAACCCTCTTAATAGCCGCTAGTGTCTTAGGTATTAGTACTTAATACGCTTCCCTTTCCTTACGCTCGGCCTCGAGCGATAAGGGGTCTTATAGTATAGCAGCGTTCTAGCCTATTATAGCGAAATAAGGTAACACCTTAGTAGATAAGTAGACACTGTTATTATATACGAATTCTATAGGCTATAGGAGATTAACTTAATCCTTAGGGTTCTCGTTAATGTAACTACGTAGGTACTACTATAGGGTAGTATTCTGTCTCTCTGTTTAACCGTTATCCGTAGTACCTACCCG